TCAATTTACTAAATATATCACATTTCTCAATAAATTTTCCAGTGTACTTGGAGTGGTTTCACCTGCTTATATCTGATTTGATTTTTAGCTCCTTTTGTTCATATTTAAAATAAATAAATATGTGTGTGATTTTTAAGCAATAGTATAGCAATGTAGGACTTCATGCACCTATTAAAATTTGACCCTATTCATCATTTGTCCAAAGAACCTGGCACAGAGACTTTGCTTATTTGCACAGAAACTGACTTTTTATCCTCAAATGCAATGTAATAGGCTGACAGAACAAATATAAGAAAAGATAATCCTTATTTTAAAATGTTTTCTGAAATTTAGAAAGCAAGTGATTACGGAGTGGTTGAAAAGCAATGAATTGGAATCACAGTGACTAGCTCTCTTTTAACCCTTGCATGGCCTTGGGAATTGTCTCCCCTCTGACACCTAGTTTTTTCATAAAACCTGGCTATATTTTATGCTCCATATTTCTCCTTTATGTTTCATAGTTGAATAATTTTTACTCAGACACCGTCATAAAAATGGCTTCCAAGGAATGCTCTGAGGTGGGCTAACGCAAACAATATCCTAGCTTCAGACTGACCTCAGATATTTTTTGAAAGACAAGAGAAAGAAATTCAGGCATTACCTAAGATTCATCAAAATCTGTAAAGGGGTTCCTAATGATTTCTTTCATAAGATTCCTTATTTTATCTTCTGTATAAGGAAAAAGCTCATGGGAGACTAGACCCAGTGACTGAAGCCTGTAATCCCAGCCCTTTCGGAGGCTGAGGTGGGAGGGTCACTTTAGGCCGAGAGTTACAGACCAGCCTGAACATGTAACAAGACCCAATATCTACAAAAATAAAACAATAATTAGCTGGGCATGGTGACACATGCCTTTAGTCCCAGCTACTTGGGAGGCTGAGGTGGGAGGATTCCTTAAGCCTAGGAATTCCAGGCTACGTGAGCTATGATTACACCACTTCATTCCAATCTGGATGATAGAGCAAGACCCCACTTCTAAAACAACAGCAGCAACAGAAAACAACCTCATAGAAACGTATTAGTAATTATAGATTTTGATATATTTATATCCAAATATAGGTTTAGATATAAAAATGTTTAGATATAAAAATGTTTTAGATATGTATACAGGTACAACCATCTGGCAATATCCACAACCCATTCACATTTCTCCAGAAAACTATACTCTAATGCCCAGATCAAAGGGGTCAGATAACACAAGGGCTTAAAGAACAGTTTAAGAATGTTGAACTTCATCTTAATGAGAGTGAAAAACCACTAAAAGGTTAAAAAGTAGTTGTGTAAGATGACTGAATATGAGTTTGGGGAATATCATTTTGGCTATATGAAGACCGTATGGAAGGAGCACAAATATAGTTATAAAAGCTATAGGAAGCCCAGTAAAGAGGCTATCACAAGATGCCAGGAAAGAAAAGATGGGTCTCTAGTGGAAGGCAGCTCCTGCAGAGTTGAACAGACTTGAAGAGAATTCAGAGCAATTCAGCTGTGCCCCGGCCTCTCCTGTGCTCTCTGATTGCACAGAGATCATTGATTGTGCAATTGGTTAAATCTGAGGCCATGTTCTCAAGCTGCATTTTTCTATATTACAGAAGGACTGGCCAAGAAATTATTCTCCCTCTTTCTCTGAGATCGTTTTCAGTGAACTGTAGGGCAGCATCTAAAGAGTAAGTCAGAAACGCATGTCTCTCATTATAACTTTATATACCAGATAGGATCCAGTGACATAGGTCATAAATGGTAAAGAAAAAAGCCTTTAAGTCTCAAAAAAAGAAAACACTTTATATTCAATATATGTTAATTTCAATATATGTTAAATAACATTCAATATATGTTAAATTTCCTTAACTTCTGAGACTTTTTGCCTAAAAAATGAAGAACACATACTTCATAAGATACTGTATTAAATGAAAAAAAATATACATGGAATATAGTACCTGGCACAAAATAGGTGCTAAATAAGTACTAATTCCCTTCTTTCCACTTCAACCCTTTCTTAGTTAACAGACAGGAAGTAACAGATGTCTTAAAAATATATATTGTTAATCCCTAAATATATGATTAATGGCCCAGAATAGAGATTCTAAAACCTGCAATCCACGCATCAATTAACAGTGGGGATACATGCAGAGAAATAAATCATTAGGGAATTTTATCATGGTGCAAGCATCATAGAGCATACTTAGACAAACCCAGATGGTGAAGTTTGCCGCACAACTAGGCTACATGGCATACTCTGTTGCTCCTAGGTTACAAACCTGGGCAATATATTACCACTGAACATTGTAGACAATGGTCATACAATGGTAAGTGTATGTATCTAAACACAAAAACTGTACAGTAAAAATATGGTATTATAATTTTATGAGACCATCATCATATTATAATCTTATAGGACCACCTTCATATATGCCATCTGTCTTTGACCAAAATGTCATATGGTTTATGACTGTAGACCTTTTCAGCTTGCATTGGAAGTACCTAATTTATCATGCTAAATATATTTAGATTCTTTGTTGTGACCATATATAGAGTTAATATTCATTCTTCTTTAAGCCCCTATCTTTACCTAAGGAGTAGCTATGAAATAGTGACCTTTTTATATATTGAAATTCTGCAGTAAAATAATTTAACTTCTCTTCCCTGGCAGATTGGAAACAAAATCCCGAGGAAAGGGAATAAAATAGAATGTGAAAATCTAATCAATATCCATATGTTGCCAAAAATCTGTGATGCTCAGACATATCATCCACAGTTTCATAAATGTGGCTGTCTTATTATATATTATCCTCCACACTCAGAGGGTTTCTAATAACTAAAAGAAAAGATTTGACCACAGATCAGAAAATAACTTTGGCAATTAAAAAAAATGAAACAATGTAACTAGACAATATGTAGAAAAGTGAACAGTGAGGTAAGATGGTAAAGAAATATTGATATTCAGTGAATTAGAGTGATCATAATAGTTTGCTTTCTCTTCTCTAGCCTATGTACTCCTCTGTTCAAACTCAAATGTGTTTAGGTCACTACTTTGTGGTATGTGGGAAGTGGGACAGAATTTCCATCCCACTCACGCCTGATAAAATGACCTCTGTTCCACCGCCGCTCTGACTAAACTTGTCATAACTCTGAAACAAGAGGCCAGATTTAAATATGAGAAAGTGGTAAGAAATGCTTCCTTGCATACCACTGTACAATGAGGGGTTTTTTTTTTTTTTTTTTTTTTTTTTTTAAATCACACCACCTTTGTGTGAATTCCTCATGCCTGTTTTTAAATCTCTGACTTTTCCCATCAAAGTAATTAAGCTGATTCCTAAAAAGGTCATCTAGACTTAACAAAAAAACTAAACGTCCTCTATTTCTCTTCTTACTATGAAGTGGACAGGCAGTGAACCTGTGCACTGTTGAATGAGGCAGGCAGGAGGAAGTTGATTCTGCAGTGCCAATTGCATTGCGTAGAAAGTCATGCCTAGTCAGCTTGCAATTGTACTTCTATCCCTTTATCTGTCCCTTCATTTACAAGCTATTTCCCTCCCTATCTCTCTCTTTCTCTCTCTTCCTTTCCCTCTCTCTCTCTTTTACAGCACCCTAAATTAATATGCCACAAATTAACATGTTGCAAATTAACATGTCACAGTTAAAACCCTAGTTTAGAACAAAATTCTCATAGAAAGTTCCTTTATTCTGAACTGTGAGGAGGGATGGGGGTATTTCTGAACTAGATTCATCTTTCAGTTACATCTCCTAATTACCACTTTGTTATTTCTTTGTGGGGGTAGAATGACCTCCCCGTTATATATTCCCCACTCAATACAGGCATCATCTTATATTGTAATGGAAAATTTTTGAGAAGCACCATTAGACATACAAGAATTTTGAACCTAAATAGAACACGCAATTTATGTCCAATAAAAGCTAAAAATTACCTTGAACAAGCCGTTAAAACGTATTGTTCAACTGCCTCTGCATCTGCAAATGAAGACGTTTAACTCTGAACTCTAATGTCCTTTCAAAAAATTATAACACTTAAATTATATCATTAAATTTTAGTATCTTGTATAGCAGTTTATTTAAATGGCTTTCTTTTCTTTGGTTGAAAATTCATAGCAGGCAGAATTTAGAACCTAATATTTAATAGAGGTTACTCTCTAGTATGGAAAAATGTATGGCAGACAGAACTGTACTTTAATGGTCAAATCAAATAACAAAATACAACTATGTATGTATCTCTACCTATTCTCTAATATTACATAAGGAATCACATTATTTTTGACAGCTGCCTAACTCAGAGTGCAATCCTTGCTTACGTCTCAGTCTGATTCAGTCTTCATTTTTTTGCAGCTGATACCATTGGGGAAGTATATGAAGACATGAAGGACAGAGCGAAGAGTCAAATTTGTATTTATTAGCTTACTAGACTAGGCTGCTAAATGAAAACTCCCCACAGCCCTTCTGCACGACCACTTCCAGGTCTGTAGTGGAGTCTGAGTGGAATAAAATAAGCACTGTTACACTTTCCTTTCTAACTTAATCTTGTTAAAATATCGATAGTTCTTTTCTATCAATGATAGAAGATTGGTTAAGAGAAACAGGAATGCTGATTATGACAAAAATATTGCCAACATAGGACATTTTGTAGCCATATACTTGTTTTGTTTTACATGAATATGCATGAGAGTTTATTCTTATATTTTCACATGAAAATATTTATATTGTGATAATATAGTTTGCCTTTGCACTTGGAACATGAGGCTAGTTATAGACTGATAAAACGTTGTCTTTTTAACTCTCATGGATACATTTATTATTTCTTGAAGTGATGAAAAATTTATTGTTGCTAAGCTTAAACATAAACATTCTTATATAATTACATGTGAATAGTTCAATGGTGCATAATTGGAAATGGAGCATGATGGGGAGAAGTATGAACCAGAGACTTTATTTTTGGAAGGAAGAAGTCTGAATTTTGTGTGCTTTATACACATTTTTCATGAAGTAGGTCCACAGTTGTAAATAATTTATTCCATAGCATACATTTATTCACCATTAACAATACTTCAAAATAACCCTTTGTTCATAAACACATGTATGAGAACAAGATAAACTTGTTGAAATTTCTACTGAGGATTGTTTAGAAAATATCCGAATGATCTGAGTTTAAACCATGCTGAATATGCATACATCTCTAATTTGTTAAAATGTTGCTAAAAATTAAAAATAAGGTTTGCATCTAGGAAGGTGACATATCTAGAGTTTGCAAGATCATATTTAACACTGTAACCCATCTATATAATTTGAATTTCCTTTTTTCATATGCTGTGTGACAAACAATTCCACCATTATAAATAACCTTCTGTATAGAGGCATACTAATGGTGCCATAAACGTATTGCTTGATGTATTTCCTACGTTTTTCTCTCCTTTGTTTTTGAAAAGATTTATCGTTATTTCTCTATTTAGCCAGCAGAAGTGAAGTGATTTCAGGATGATCTGTCTCCATCAGAAAGTACCACATGTTTCTCATTTAATTCCATTTCCGTGGAAACCTGAAGACACTTCTTGCATCGTCTTTCAATTTCCTGGAAAAAAGATAACTTTCATTATTTTGGCATGAGACACTCTTAGAATGCCCTGTGTCAAGAATAATTAGAATTTCACTCTTCAGCTTCTCTCCTGCAGTATAGTGACTGTCTAAAAGAGCCTCACTGTCTGGTGCCTGATAAATGTGTTCTTGAGTGTATGAACAGAAGTGAATCTGAGCCAAACCAGTGAGAGCTGTCCATGTGAAAGCCTAGATAAAGGTGTAAAAATGTACATGTTGAGACATTCATTAATTTACTTCATGACTATTCCATTTATTAAATAGAGGCTACTGTGACAGGCTAGCTCAGATGTTGTGTCTATAGAGAACAAGAAAATGAATTCAACTACACAGTTACCATGGCACTTGCAAATTGAGTTTTAACAGTTATTTTCATTTCATTAAAACAAAGCACTAGATTAGTACTGGTCCTAAACTCTTTCAAAAGAGTTTTGCAAACTGTGGGGGCGACAAAAGAAAGTTCTTATGAAATACTGGTAGAAACAAAGAAAGCAGGGGAAAGCAATTATTTCATTTAAAATCACAAGCAAACTCTGCCTCATGCCTTACCTCACACTGCTTTCCTAGAGTCACCTGCCATTTCACAAGAGAATACTTTGTGCCTCTGCCTAGAAGGCTTTGTGCTGTCTCTCTTTCCACAAAATTGAATCCCCTCTTCTCCCTTGTAACATTCAAATACTTTAGAGATTGTTCTTTCATAGCATTTTTGCCATACCATAATTGTGATATTTACCACATTGCATTTTAATATTGTATTTGTTTTCTTGCCCAATTGGATGTAAGCATTTAAAATACAGTGACATCTTGTTTATATATGTATATAGGGGTGTGTGTGTGTATATATATATGGGTATATATATGCATATATAAGTATATATGTGCATTCACAAGGGTTTGATACAAAGTTGATGCTCATAAAATGGCTAATGAATGAGTGGGTGAACAAATGAGAGAATGAATGAAGAGAGAAAAATATGATCAATCACATGTTTTCAATACTGGATAGAATGAAAACGCCGCATTTAGTTCCAGGGTTGGTCAGAAAAGATAAAGAGATTTTTAATGGTTCTGAATTCAAATGTGGAGGTCAAATTCCAAAGTAATTTACCCAAACATTGTTTTAATACTAGACCATATATTCGAAGAAAAACTGTTCCCCATTTAATTGCATTATTTGATTTTAAATATTAGAACTCTTACCTACCTGGCTAACAGAAAGCATGCTAGACTTGTCTGAGCAATATAATGATCACAGAGTATATAAAATACAATTAATGTCCGTCCAAATGTGTTTAAAAATACAGTTAACAAACTAAGGAGCCATTTGTGAAAAATGTTGAAAGATTTTAAATAGCTGAATCTGGAAATGGATATTGAAAAGTGGAGGGGTTTTAATTAATGAGTTAAGAATCTTGAAGTAATACAATAGAAATGGGGCGGGGATAAAGTTTGTTTAAGAAATTCCAAGGCATAGCTTTATTATATTAAGGTAAGAATATGAAATGTAAAGATCAGTGTTTACCTATTTGCCTGATATATATTATAGAGGCTTCAAAACGTAAGTAGTAGCTGTTTAAACAGAAGGGAAGAAGAAACCAAGATGCTTATTTAGAGGGTATAGCAGACTTTAATGGTAGTATGAATACATGAGAAAGCCAATGAGATGGTGAGTCAAAGTAGCCATACAGTTACTTTATCCCATGCCCACTTTTGAATAAAGATTGATAGTAAGGCAGAATGATGTTGAATTAAGAATTGTTCAAATGTTATGTTTCTTAGAGAAGTTAATAAAATTAGCCTTGACTTGCTAATTTTGAAGTAACAGATATATATAATTAGAGTAATACTGACGCAATGAAAGCCAGGATAAAAAGAGACTGAGATCATTTGAAATGATCAGTTTAAAATCCAGTACTTGGATGTATAGGTGGTATAAAAGGAGACAGTAGAGAATGAAATAAACATAGACAAAAGAATTAAACATAGGGTTAATGAGTAAGGCAATCAGCCAAAAACATACAAGAAAACCACATTAGAGGCAGAGAAGAGAAGCTCCATATCTAAGAATCATTGAAAGCATTAACATATTTTTCCAAAGAAATATTCAAGTAAAAAGAAGTCAGACAAGTCTGTTGAAGGAAGGTGCAGAGTAGTTAGTCCTGGTGATATCAAGTGGAGATACCCACTCCTCCAGCTGCATGAGTGTAGTGGAGTGTGTCTGAGATATCATTGATAATAAGTGCTAGAATTAAAAAGAAAAATTTAAACATAAAAAGAGAAAAAGAAGAGAGAGAAAAATGAAATTTGCTCTGTGCTCAGAAGGGCTCACCCAGTATACATAACTTTATAATGTATTCACTGATTAGGTAAAAGATTAAAGGCCATGCAATTACTCACCCAAGTGGATACTCTAATATTGTTGGACATATAGAAATGGACAGGGGAAGACAGGTTCTCTGTGGCTTACCAAAACTTAATCATGAAGGATAAGATAATCAATTAAGACATAGACTATCTGAAGTATTGTCTAAGCTTTAAAGTGAAGTTTTGTTTGGACTTTTCAATTTAGAGGAAGTCAAAATTGGTAGACATTTGAAAGCAAGCAGACATTTCCAAATAGAATTCTGGGACAAGGGAGAGAAACATTTTATTGTTCTTACAAAAACAATTATAGAAAACCTATGTTTATAGACTAGAGAAAATTTGTAAAAGGAAGCAAAATGCAAAGGCATTGCAATTTACATGGGGAAAATTATTTTACAGCAAGACATTCAAAATGTTATCTCATATCTAAGTACAGGCAAGTCATATTGCTGAGGTATGTAAGAAAAAGCAGTTCCATCAAGCATTCTATTTAAAAAAAAAAAAAAACTGGCTGCTAAAATAGAACAAGCAATTCCTTGCTTTTGGTGATAAAGTAGATGATTCTGAAGAGTTGTTCAAACAATACCAGCTAAGGTTAATAGGCTTGCTGGAAGGTTGGAAGTTAGGAAGCTAGCCAATTTTATAGAACTATACCATGAATGATATACTGGCAAATTTTCAATGTATTTATATTTTTAATGTCAACAGAAGGTGCACATTAGATGCCAATTTCCTTCATCTCTCTGAAAGATTTTCCTGGAAATAATGTTTTCTTATAGCTTAATTCCTGATTTGATTATCCAAACAATTATGTCATTCGTATATTTACAGTAAATGGTAGTATCACCAGTTTGCATTTTGGCTTTTCATGAAATATTTTGAAAAGTCAACCTTTTGCTAAAGTTACAAGCATTGGAAAAAATCAAGTTTAAATTATAATTTCACCATAATATCTTACAAGTTTATTTCCTTAGATGGAAAATAGGCTTAATAATACCTCCATGACGGAGTTGTTCTTAGAATCGAAAAGACTTGTAGATCTACTTGAATAGCACCTGTTACACAGTAAAGGCAGAAAAAAAAACAATAAAGGGCTTGAAACGCAAATTAGTATTACACACATACACACACACACACACATAGTATTATATATTTCTAAAAGGTAAAATCACAACTCTCATCTAAAATATAATATGAGACACATTTAAAATATGTAATTTAACTCATTAATGAATGAGAGAGCATGTAAGATGTTATATCTGTTCAACAGATTATCTAAGCAAGCATACATACATAAACAGGAATGATGAAATTATTGTGCTCAATATAATAGATAATAAACTGGCTTCTTCTACAGGGTAAATGAAAATCAATTGCACCTCCACCTGTCAAAATGCACTGTCTGTATATGGATAGAGTGCCTACCATTGTCAGTGCCTACTACTTAAATGGCATAAAGGCTGGGCATGGTGACTCATGCCTGTAATCCCAACACTTTGGGAGGCTGAGGCAGGCAGATCACGAGGTCAGGAGTTCGAGACCAGCCTGGCCAGAATGGGGAAACCCAGTCTCTACTAAAAATACAAAAAATTAGCTGGGCATGGTGGCACGCGCCTGTTGCTCCCAGCTACTCTGGGAGCTGAGGCAGGAGAATTGCTTGAACCCGGGAGACGGAGGTTGCAGTAGTAAGATCATGCCACTGCACTCACCCTGGGTGACAGGCGAGACTCTGTCAAAAAAAAAAAAAAAAAAAAAAAAAAAAAAAAAAAAAATGTATAAAATAGCTCCAAGGTAAATGAAAAACAGAGATAATTCTGATGTATTTGCAGAAAAGGCTGCAGGAATAATTTTTGGTTGCTGTAGCCTTGCATTTCAATTGTCTGTTCACAATTATTTTTCTGACAATCCTCAACTTATTTTCTTCACAATTATTTTTCTGACAATCCTCCCAACTTATTTTCATATCATAATAACAAAGAAAGACTTTGTAATTAATAATTACAAAGAATTGACTAGTTTGGTTAGGTTTGGCCTGGTTGTTTATATAGGTTCAGCAAGAGTTTTAATTAACCCTGCAGTTCTCCTTATGTGTTCTTTTGGAAATCAAATATCACAGAATATTTAAAAACCTACAAAGCCATAAAATTATTTTTTTAATTTTCGTTTTTATTTTAGATTCAGGGGGTACACATGTAGATTTGTTATAAGGGTATATTTCTTGGTGCTGAAGTTTGGGCTTCTGTTGATCCTATCACCCAGATAGTGGACATTGTTACCAGTAGAAAGTTTTGCAACCCTTGGCCCCTCCCTTACCCCAGCCATTTGGAGTTCCCAGTGCCTAGTATTCCCATCTTTATGTCCATGTGAACTCAAGATTTAGCTCCCACTTATAAGTGAGAATATGTGTTATCTTGGTTTTCTGCTTCTGTGTTAGTTTATTAAGGATAATGCCCTTCAACTCCATCCATGTTCCTGCAAAACACATGATCCCATTCTTTTTTATGGTTGCATAGTATTCTATGATATTTATGTACCACATTTTCTTTACCCGACTCACTGTTGATGACCTAGGTTAATTCCATGCCTTTGCTATTATGAATAGCACTGCAATTA